CAGTTTTGATTGAGGGTTTGAGGAAGTCGGTTTTTCACTCAGCGTTTCAAAAGTGTTTCGAATTTAATATTATTATATTGCTTTAAATTTTTCAGTCAGATTAATCACTGTGGAAACGTTTGTATGGGCGATTGTTGCTCGTAACGCCCTTTGATAGATCAATAGATACTGTATGATTAAAATACGTCCTGAGGTTGTCTACAGCTGCTGCGATATTCATTTGAATAACCCAAAAAAAATTTGAAAACAACGCCAAAATCATGTCCGCACATGTTCCGTCCACCAATTTGATAGATTGTAGAACAGAAAAAAGTTTAGAAAATGTTACTGTATTCGACGTGTACTATGACGATGTAATGATATTCAATGAAACGTTTCGTGTCAACATAGCCATCATCAACTTTTTTTTAAATACCTGTCTACTTGGCATGGTTTCGTACAACAAAGATCGTGTATGACAAATCTTGCATGTTCAAATAAATATCTCTGTACGTACCTGGAGAAGCAAAAACAAGTCGATGTTGTTTATTTAGACTTTCAGAAAGCCTTCGATCAAATGGACCATTATATTCTTCTCAGCAAATTGACAAAATTTGGACTCTCTAACCAACTGCTTACTCTAATCGAATCACATCGAGTTAACAGAAAACAATTCGTCGAATATGAATCTTTCAAATCGGCTCGGTATGTAGTTACATCTGGGGTACCACAAATGTAAAATAATATCATTTACAACAAAAACGATTATTCAATGAACAATACTACAATCAACCGCTTACATGAAATAAAACATCTTGGTATAACATATGACAGTAAATTAACATTTACAACACATATAAGGAATATAACTGCTGATGCAAATAGGATGCTTGGAGTCATTTACAGAAATGGCAAAAACTTCAAAATTATTGCTATATTTTGCGTATGCCAGATCTAAGTTAGAGTATGGCTCTGTGTTATGGAATCCAGTATACGACTACCAAAAAACATCAATCGAGAGCGTACAAAAGAAGTTTCTGAAATACTTATGTCTATGGACAATACCCCACGAGAGGCATCGATCATAACATTTTATTGACACGAGTTGATACATTGCATGGTTTATAAGTTTTTGTGTTTTTGCTCACTTTTTCATTTCTGTTTTGAAATTCCACGTATACGAATATTTTATATATACTTTGTTTTAGCATTTACTTTTATACATTTCTATATACCGTTATTTTTAATATTTATTTCATATATACTCTGTAATAATAGCATTTCCTGTAACTGGGTACTCCTGTTGGAAATGAATCGCTTTTTTTACAGATATTGATAAAGCAATAAATTCACAATCCCAGGGTATATCACGTTTGATATTCATTTGAAATAACTACCATCATCAGTGACAACAATTTTAAATTACGGTTGAATTCTAAACTGGAGTATGGAAAGTTTCTTGAATATCCCTGGATATTCCACTGGTTGAGTGGAAGAGTAGCGTAAGCTAAACTCCGCCAGTATAAATAAAGACAATTCATTATTATTATTATAATTCATTCCTAATATCATTTTATATATAATTTTCATTGCTGTACGAACGATAACGAGAAGTAGAATCAATGCGGGTGAAACATTAAGTTTCATAGTGAACTAAATGCCCTCATTCACTTTCATAAACCATTTAATTAGATATCGTACATCATTAAATTCGAACTGATATACTATCAAAACTGAGAATGAAAACCAGTTCTATTCATTCAGGAGTTGTAGAATATAACTAAAATCACTCACATGGGATGAATTTTCAGATGAATCTATTTCAACAAAATATTTTTGCTATGAATTATTTCGACAATGTAGTTCTTTCTGAGTTTTTAAGCGCTTTCGTCCTTATAAAATAAAAAATAAGTTTCTAGAAAATGAATTTATGGCGACGTTGTGTTCATGGCTTCTAGATATTTGAAATATCTAGAACGTTTGAACATTTGAACGTTATTTGCAATTTATGAATTTTTTTCAGGACTATTAGATATTGACCAATGAACTTGTAACTGAAAATATCGAGAACACTCAGGAGAATCTTTTTTGTTACTGTCAAAACGAAATATTCCATTCGTGTTCTCCATAAACTCATATAGTTCGGAAAAAGAATTGTATATTTTTATAAACAAAGTTTATTCATGTCCATAAGAATTACAAAAAAGTTGATGATATTTTTTTCACGAAGTCAGTAGTCCAGGAACTAGAAAATATATCGGCAACCGCTGTGAATATGAAAAAAAACTTTCAAGGATTTAGATGAGTCCTATGAAAAAGCTCATTTGGCGTTAGTATGAAGTAGTTCAGCAATCGTTAAAAAAAAACAAGAAAATAAATGAATATTTTTCCAACCTGGATAGGGTGGTAGTAGAAGTTACATTATTTGTATTCAGTAATAATATAAATAAGCCTCTTCGTGAAAGAGTATAGAACACTGAAGTTGCCAGGCTAGAAAAGTCTCGAAACAGGTGATTTTCACATGCAAATATACTACGGCTGAAATTTTATACTTGGAACTATATGATTTTTCAAAACTATGTAAGTAAGCAAGTGACGAAAACGCTACTTATAAATCCTGATCAATTGAAATATTGTGAACATATACAGACCTTTTTTTTATCATGTGGTAACATTGCTATATTCTAAACCGTAACAGAAACGAAGACGATTAAATGGGAAAAAATGTAACTGTCAACGGGAACAATACAATGGTCGAAGAAAATTAACGGGGACTCTCGCCCTACTCGAGTTATACGAGGAAAACCAAAAATGCAGTTTTTCGTTTTTTTCGAATGGAATTGTTATTTCGGAGAATATCAAAAAATAGAAAAGAAATGTTATTGTATTTGAAATGTATTATGACGACGTAATAATGAAAATTCAATAAAATGTTTTGTGTCAACATTGCCACCATCAACTTTTTTTACGGACCTATCTTTTTTATTACAGATATTGATGAAGCGATAAATTCACAATCCAAGAATATATTACATTTGATATTCTTATCACGTTTCATCTGAAATGACCATCATCATTAGTGACAACAATCAAAAAGAAAAACGATTTATTTTATCATGAACTTTCGGGAAAAATGAAATCAATACGGAAAATCAAAGCTACATGGCAATCTATATTAATTGCCATTAATCTACATCAATACTAATATATGCATCTCTTATTTTTTGTTTAAGATGGTCGATATCTGTATTTGGTATTGAAAAAACTTCATCATTTATGTATCCCCAGACAAAAAAAATCTATAGAAGTAAGATCTGGGGATCGAGCTGGCCAGTTAATTGGTCCATTGTTTCCAATCCATTTTCTTGGGAATATTGCATCTAAATGTTCCTTTACTATTGCTGCATCTAGGAGCGCTGTTCTGTTGAAAATATTGTATTTCATGTCGGATTTTCAGTGGCAATTCATCTGGCTAGTCACCGAATTCCTTGAATAAAAATGAAGATACATTTCACTATCCAAATGATAATCTTAAAAGAAAGGGCCTGGGATGTTTGTTCCCACAATCCCCAACCAAACATTTATTCCGAACCTTTCTTGGAAATTGGTTTCCCTACGTAAATGTTCATTCGTATTATTCCACGTATGTGGGATATTTCTTTTAAACCAACCCTTGTTGGTGAATTTTGATTTGTCTGTCCATATTATTTTTTTACAAATATTAACAACTTCCCTATTTCTATCTCTTAACCACTCCGCAAATAGTACTCTCCTTCCGTAATGCCTTTCATTGAGGTGATGGACTTTGCGTATCCTGTAGCATTTTTATTTGTTCTTTTTCAAAATAGTTCTGGTGGATTTTACAGAAATGCCCATTTCGTTAGAATAATTTTTGTAACTAGCCAATACTAAATAAAAAAAAGATGTTTTCACTGTGTAAATTTATATGTGGCAATATTTGCTCATCCATAACATTTATTTGATTCCTCACACTGCCAGTAACCACACATTTTCTTATTTTTTTTATGTCGAATGCAACATAGAGTATAGCTCAACATACATATTCCTTGCCAAAAGAGGATTTCTATTTGCTTTTCCATAACCTATCAGTATATCAGTCCTTTCATCATTTGAATACATCTTTGATATGTTCATAAACGTCTGACAGTTCTCAATAGATATCAACAACGCATTCATTTTTCCTGCCCTAGAAACCAAGCAAAGCCTACGCATTTAAGATGGTGAATGAATCGAGATGTTATTTGATCATACCAAATTATACAACAGTCAAATTTTGACCAAAAGCTGATACTTTTCATTACTTCCAGGATTGAGAATTATAAAAATATTACGCCAGAACACCAGAAAAACATAGATACAGTCATCTCCTGATGGTGTTAACTTGGTTAGCAAGTAAGTGAGTTCGGAAAAAAATCCACTTTGGACAGACGTGACGATCCGATCCAAAAAAGGATCGTTTTGGTTGCGTGAAAGCAAAGCAATAAGTTTCAAACCATCAAAAACCGCATGAGAGCTGAAGCCCAGTTCTTTCACTAACACACAGATGCCAAACATCTGGTTGATTTTTTGGGGTGTTTCGCCAGTGTTTTGGTTTCATTTGAATTCGTAAAGAAAAATTGGCCGAAAATAACATTGAAACGGACAAAAATTTTGAAACAATCTAATGATGTATGTAAGCTGCACATGATGAAACTGAGCTCAACAAAAGAGATTCAATCAGGTAAATAATTACCATACAAACGTGTGCAATTCTAACGCAAATCGTGATTTCCCTCGACCACTACTGGATACGAGAATTAGAAATGAACATATCAATTTCGGCACCTCAGCACCGTAAATCGCACGCAGCGTCACGATCTCGCAGACGTTTCATCTGTGGGAATAACCTTTCTTTCGAAAAGTGCCGAAGAAGTAGGTTAGCGTGAACAGTCGCTTGTGCGATTCGTTTCTCTCGTTGTTCTTCAATCATGATTGTCTGATTTGATTAGACTACAATAACTCAGTTTTTTGTAATCGCTTCTTCGGTAATTGGAACGATACAGAGGAGATTGGCGTGACCCCTTCGCAAAGATAATATGCAAAATCGAGTTACAATGTAAAATTTAACTATATGGAATCCTGTCAAGGGCTGACTTCGAAGTTTCGTATTGAGACATTTTTCTTATCGGCCCATCAGCCTAATTGGCCAATTTATTCTACCAGCAAGATTAACAGGTGAAACCTACACGGATTTTTTGCGAGATCATTCATCCATTTTGTTAGAAGTAGTGCCGGCACTTGTAAGAGGCAACGTGAAGTTCATGCACGACGGGGCTCCAACTCATTTTAGTGTTCTTGCTCGTCAGCATCTCGACATCACCTACCCCATTCGCTGCAGAACCTCAAAATTGGCCAGCTCGCAGTCCTGATATGAATCCTCTACAGTTCTATTTATGGGGTCAAATGAAGACTCTTGCTTATACAACTCCTGTACTAGATGTGAATGACTTAAGGAATCGAATAATTAACAATGGCAGTGTCATAAGGATCACTCCAGGTATTTTTGGACGTGTCAGACAATCAATGACAAATCGATTACAACTGTGAATTCGATTTCATTTTCAGTTGCATAATCTGAAAAAATAAAAAGCTACAGAGAAAGTCAGTGGTGTTCATTCTTTTCTCAATATTTTTGGCTATGGTGCCCACTGAGACGCCACTGGACCTAATAATTTCAATCTGGTTCGGGATAATTTAGTGTCTTATTACTTCGAATATCTATGACAAATTTTCACCAAATCGGTGTAGGAATATTGATGACATTTTATAAATACCGTTTTTTTAAATTTCAACGCCCTATATCTCAGAAACAAAGGAACTTCGAACTGAAGTTTCGTACCCCAGTTAGAAAACACCCAGTATAGTACATGAAAGAGTGTAATTCAATGTTTATTTGAAAGTAGTTATTACGAGAGGGCTTTTTTTTCTTTCAGTTTGTATCTAGAAGTTACTTCTTTGCATGATCTATACATCTTTGTAAAGAGTTGGAATTGATAATAATAATAAATCGTCTATATTTATATTTGAACACACATGTAAAGAGATAACAACAACAGATATTCAACAAAGATAAAGTGGCGAAGTGTCTGTCACTAAGGATGTTTTTCAACTTAACCGTGGAAATACAAAATTAATTTACAATTTTCTTAATTATCTTAGCTATAATATCTACGATGAGTATAATTCTATTACATTGTAGAATAATTTTGCTGTCTGAGATCTATCAAATTAATTAGTACATTGAATTAATAAAGTCATTGACTGGTCATTATCCGTTCTGTAGATGCAGAGTTGGACATTTGTTATCATATTGAGCTGATAATATGGATTTCAACTTTTTTTGAAGTTCATCAGAGTATATGTACTGTAATCATGCGGAAGTTGATTATAGAACTTAGAGGCATTGTACGTGAGGGATCGCTGAAAAATGGAGGTTTTATGTTTGTACATTGCCAGTAACCCCGAGTTACGAGTGTTATAATCACTCAGATTCCCTATTTTGATTAGTTTGTCATATAAAGATGTTGGTGTCCTATATTTCATATTCAATAGATGTAATTTTTTCATATATAGCAATTTCATTTTTTGCATTTCCCGATTTTATGACTCACCTGCTCATGTTTAACCAGAGTCCAAGATTTCTTGTTTCATTTTCAATGGGAATTTTCTCCCCGCCCAAAACAATGTCGATTGAGGTGCTGACCAAATTACGTTTGACCTTCGGTCTGAAAAACAATGCACTGGACTTACTCGCGTTCAACTTCAGATTATGTGCTGCAGATATATTTATCAAGGAATCCACATCCGAATTCAAAGCAGTGGTAACATCAGGTTTCACTTCATTGAAAGATAAGTACAGCTGGGTTTCATCCGCTCAGTGGTGTATGCGGCAGTATTTGAGGAATGAATGAAATTCTGAGATGTACAAAGAGAATAACAGTGGGCCCAATATTGATCCCTGCGGAACGCTATGGCTCAAAGCAAGGGTCTCTGAGGATTCAAGGTCATGAACCACTCTTTGCGTTCTTCCTTTCAGGAAACATTCCAATATTTTCACTGAATCAAGCTGGAATCCGAAGAATTTTAATTCACTAATGAAAACCTCATGATCCATAATATCAAATGCCATGCTGTAATCCAGCAGGATCAGACAAGTAACCTTTCCTTTCCCTAAAAATATCATCAACAATATTTGTTAGAGCTGTGGTGGTGCTAAATCCTCCCCTAAGGCCAGACTGAATCGGTGGTATAATTTTATGTTTCATTACGTATTCATTGATTTGATTGTATAAAATTTTTTCAAATGCTTTAGCTAGAACTGGCAGAAGACCGATTGGTCTTAAATGGTTGATATTGGTAGGATTCGTTATTTTTGCTAAGGGGATCACAAGTGAAAGTTTCCAAGCCGTAGGGAATGTTGAGTTATTTATGCAATAATTGTATATGTATGTTATATAATCGATAAGAAGCTTATTGAAGATGTTCTTCATTTGCAGAATGGCAATAGGGTGGAATGATTGAAATTATATTCGAAACGTCGCAAGCGAATTGTACATCATGAGTTAGATCTGAGTATAGGAGAATTAGAATACCACAGAGTACAGTTCTTAGACCGTTACTTTTCTAGTTGTATATTAATGACATCATTATCTGAACGTCTCGGTGGAATTGATACTTTTTGCATGACATTTTTGTGATACTACAGAGATAGACATGAATACAATAAAAAGCACATTTATGCGTATTTTTTCAACTAGATTTAATTAGATTAAAAAGCGTGCTTGAAGATTGTTCCTCTCACCAGTAAATTATCAGCAGTTCCTGAATATAACTTTTAATGAAGAATGTTACAACGATATGATTACCAAGAGTTGCAGCCAAAAAAATTCATCTCTGTGGACCGTCATAGTGGATTTATATATCAGTAGTGACGACAGTTGTTTATTTATTGCACCTTTCGACATGACAGGTAATTTAGGTCAATTTCTCGCTAAAAACTGGAGTCTGTGATCAGGATTTCTTCATTGGGTTCGTAAAATAGGCTCAATCTGAAGGAATGAAATTTGTGGGCTCTCAGGATCCTAAAAATACTAGTACTGAGTGCTTGATTTCTGACAGGAATACAACAACTGGATGCAACTGTTTTGAACAGAAATTGAAGTTTTGAATTTATCCATTTACTAACCACTTTGGTCTTAGTAGGTTGGAACAATTTCAGTCTCCCTCTTCAATCGTGAAGAAAAACCGAGATAAGGAATTGTAGTAATACTCATCTTTCCTCAATGGCGTACATCGATGTTTCGGAAGGAGACACTTGCCTTTATTCCTGTTCAGCACCAATCTGGATAAAATTATTCATAAAATTACGACTTCATATCATGAAAAAGTTGAAACCATGTCATATCATGGATGACAATGTTTTTTTTGTACAATTCATTGTTCATATAAAAGCATTTGTTTTTCTGTAGTATATTTCAACGTTTATATGAGAGTAGTTGTTTCAAGAGGGCGTTTTTCAACTTCTAGTTTGTGTCTAGAAGTATCTTATTCATTTATGTTGATATTGTGTCCATTTTGGAATTAATTGCTTTCTTCCTTTCTTTGTAAGATTCCCACATTTTGTTGTATAAAGATCTGTTAAAAAAATCTGTTTTTCCGTTAACCAGTTGCCGCCCCCTACTAACGACAACTCTCAAAAGTCTAAACTTGTGCCAGATAAGGGTTAACGAGGTCTTACCTTTTAACGTGTGATTCCTAACACGGAGATGGAGAAGTAGGAAGCCCAAACCTTCCTTTTCCAAATATCAACATATTCCACACTTCAAAACTCTTGTGACATCTGTCGAGAAAGATTGGAAAATGAAGCAAACGGAAGGAAAAACTGTATGTTACGTTACAGTTGTTGCTTGCCAACTTGGGTTATTGTTTTCATTTTCTACAACTGAGAGCGGCTTTCATTTCAGCGATATAAAAATTATACATTTTTGAAAGGTATCATATGATCTCACAAAAATTCACCACGTACTTGAGGTCCATAAAAACTTCACTTCAATATCTCTCGAAATTATGCAACACTTACATGAAAGTGATCTACCTGGATACAAAAACTCAAAAGTAATAAAGAATATAGGCGTGCTAGCATNTTTTTGAATTGAAACAGGTTTTTATTATTCTTCACATTTTGGGGAAGTTTGTTATATTCAATGAGGCCTTTATATAATAAAATTTTCATGGAGTTTGATAAACTACATCGTGGCAGGTGAAAATTGTCATTTTGTCTAGTAGTGTAATTGTGAGTGGAATTTCTATAAATGATAAATTCTTCGAAATAAGAAGGTAGCATCAAATAGTCCTACACATCTGCAAAAATAAATCTGAACTGAAAAAAAATAATCATTAATATGAAACAAGGCATAAAGAAATGAACATGTCTAAACAATACAAACTAAAAGAAATGTGGGAACACGAAACTACGCTTATCTTACATTTAGAGTGATGTTCGAAACCCAACATTTTGGAACGCTTAGAAATCAATAAATTTAAGACGGAGTCACCGGTAGAAGTTATTGTATACAGGGTGCATCATCGAACTACAAGTTTATTCGTAACTAGACAGGGATTCGAAAGACATTTTCAATGAGATATCAGTCGACTCCAATTCTAACTTCTAAAAATTTGAGAATAACATTCCTGCTTATACAGTTGTAGGTTTTGCAATAGTTTTCAGGTTCGTTGGTTCGTTCTCCTCACGAGCAAATTCAATTTGTTTTCGTATACTTGAGAAAAGTTTTTTCTCTGACACTGTCCTGCAATTTTAACGTTTTTTATGGGTCACCCTGTATGAAAATCCCTGAGCCGTGGACTTGAACTATGTTTCACTGTAAAATCACTCTAAATTGATTATACATTTGTGTTTAATTTTCCACAAATCTATAAGGTCTAGGTCACTTCCTAATCACATGAATCCTCGCGATTTTTTCAATGTGCCTCTAATCAGTAGCTTATCTGAATTCCGGCGGATGACAGCCCAAGGAAACGCCATCCGGCGAGCGGTACTACGCAGAAATCGTACAGAGTGACATGCGACTCTCTAGTAGGACTAATTACCAACGACGCCTTTTTCTCGGTTCCATAAAACAAAAGCATCGTGTTTGTTTGTTGGTTCGAGTTCACACATGGCCTGCTCCGAGTTTGATGACTTGATGGAACTTTTTGCTGACAGATGTGAAAGATTCAGTGATGGCACCAGAAAGTACGAGTATAGAGGGTGGGCTACCGGTTGTTTTTTGTTAGCTGGTATACTTCCATGGTTGCTTAAACTTGAAGGTTCTCAATTGCTAATTAGGTGACCTGTATTTTTTATATCGTGTTGACCATTTTTTTCGGGATCCCAACATGAATATTCTACGTTTCCAAAGAATGGCTACATTTTCTCGATCGATCGAGATAAATGCTGTGGACAGTAACTATATATGAGTGTACATATGAGTCTCCTCCTACAAACACTAGAAAATAGAGGCATTAGAGGGAATTGCTTCAAACGAAAACAGAAAGCAAGCTGTTTAGAGTAAACGATACCACTAGTGATCAAAAGCAAGTTAATTATGGTGTTCCTCAAGGCACAGTGAGGGTGAAATCATTGGATACCTCTGCTGATGACACGGCAATATTTTGAGAGGCATAAACCTGGAGTTTGTTTAAAAAAAGATCTAAAAGATCTAACAATCAATCTAAAAAAACAAATTTTTGCCTTTCAGCTACAATATGTCGAATAGCTGTCCATATATGAGATTCGAAATTATCAACACTCAGAGTGATATAAATATTTAGGAATATATATCAACAGATATTGGAAATGGAACGCTCATATAAAAGTTTTAAACTTTGTCTCTCTTCTATAGATACTTTCACGGGAAGTGTTCAAGTGACTTGCACATTTGATTCCACTCGTTTAGTTGTTTTTTTTCTCTTCAAGGCTAGAACTAAGATCAACAGTACCCTTCCGGTACATGTAGTTTTTTATTAGTTTTATAGATTGAATAATTATTGTATTTATATGTAATAAGGAACTACAAATAAATATTATATTATATATTATTATATCAGAAATAAGCAACGGACTGTGGCTGCTCATCGTTTTGAGGTTCAACTCAGTACACCTCGACTTTCACTGTTCCAGAACTCTTTCATCTGGAGAATTGCGTTTATGTGGAATAAATTTCCCGAGATCGTTTTTCAAATCTCCAGCGAATCAAATTCAACATGATGCAATATTATCGTCTTTTGTTTAATTTTTTGTATTTCGTATTATTTTCATTACATTGTACTTGCGAAACAAATGCAGTAGCACTTATCGCTCAGGCACGTTATTCAACTTATTCCTTAAAAAAAATGTACTCTTACTCTCGTGAATACATTAATCATTATTATTATTATATTGAGATGACCCATTCAATGGAAAATCAATTGTTTTTTCCTCATTCCCCAACGGCTCTACGATTCTTTCTATTCATTTGTATTTTTATTTCTTCATACGTACCTCTACCTACCGAATGTAATTTGGTAAAAAATAATGTATTATCAAATTACTTTCATTGTCATTATAAAAATGGAAATGTCGAGAATAAAAGCGATCAATACATTCATAAATTGAAAAATAATAGTCTGAACGCTATCTAGATTCAAGAGGACTAATCGAAAATGAAGAAATAGATTGATAGTTTACTATTATATGAATGAAACATATTTATTGAACCTTCAAACAATATTTTTCAGCTCTTCTCATCATTTTAAAGAGCATATTACTGGAGTTTGTTCCCAACACCAAATCGTTATTTTCAACACCTGAGATCTCACAAAAATTCACCACGTACTTGAGGTCCATAAAAACTTCACTTCAATATCTCTCGAACTTATGCAACACTTATATGAAAGTGATCTACCTGGATACAAAAACTCAAAAGTAATAAAGAATATAGGCGTGCTAGCATAGCTTACACGAAACACTTTCTCCAAAAAAACAAATAGGTACACGCTTCAAAATAAATAAATAAATTAGTTTTGGTTACCAAAATCGTGTACGTCAAATTTCTCGGTTCGTAAATAAACTTTCATTGGCATTGACAGTGAATTAATACTCACGAGTTCAATGCCGCGTAAATAAAAGTTTATTTTTAAGTTTATAAAATAGTCGGCCTTTGACTCGTGATACTCGTGAATGGTTTGAATGTCATAATCAATTTTCAGTTGAATGTATGTTGTCACAATCACGATTTGTTCTGACTGGAGATAATGCGTACTTTATTGGATTCCGAAAGCAATAAACCCAAGAAATTGATTAATAGGTGCATGTTTTTATCTATTGACGCTAATTCGAGAAAGTAATAAATCGTAGAAAAAAACATTCTGATTGTGAGTGAAAGTATTTTATTGAGTTACCTATTTTTTAGATTCAGAACTTGAGACAATTTTTAATTCACTCTCACTGAATGTTGTTCACTCTCATATTGATATATGACTTCTCAAACAAACATAAAATAATATTTGATAAGCAATTTGGCTTTCGAGAGAAAATGTCAACAAACGATGCAATTGCCTACTTAACCAAAGAAGTATCCACGTCCTGGATAGATGAGAGTCAGCCCAGTTTGTACGTATTCCTGGATTTGGCCAAGGCTTTTGACACGGTTAGCCATGAGCAGTTGTTAAAAACTTTGGATAGTATAGGATTACAAGGAGAACCGAACAAGCTACTCACCAGTTACCTTTCTGATAGAAGATAAGTAGTGAAAATTAACAATGTACTAAGTGAAGAAGGGGTAATCTACTACGGGTACCCCAAGGTACAGTTTTAGGACCAATACTCTTCTCCATTTATATAAATGACTTATTATTGTCAAACATGTCAACAGGAAACATTATTACTGTCAATTTTGAAAAAACATTTTTCATTCCATTTGCCAATAATAAAAGGTCACTACCCAATTTTGACAATTTGAACATAGAACATAACGGAAATATGGAAGTAATACATTCTCTAAATGACATAAAATACTTAGGAGTAACAATAGATAAACATCTACGCTGGGATCTTCACATAACGAATATAACGAAAACATTAAGATGCTTATTATATTCCTAGATTCAGAAAATTGAAGAACATACTTGACATTGACATACTTTACATATACCACGCTCTTGTTCAGTCAAGGCTACAATACGTCATTTTCAGCAGGGGCAGTTCAGCTAAATCCCATTTGAATCAGTTGGACGTCCTCCAAAAAAGAATTCTGAAAATAATATGGCAAAAACAACTACTCCTCCAATATACTATTCCAAGAAACAGGTATACTCGACCTCAGACAGTTGGTTATGAATGACTAAATGAATGATTTATGAATGATTTATTGGTAGGAAGATCATAATACACAAACATAATATTCATAATATTTCATGTTATATAGACACACATAGTAAGGATATAATACTAATACTATTCTATTGCGATACCTTTCATATAATCAGTCAAATCTTTTTTGAATTGAAACAAGTTTTTATTATTCTTCACATTTTGGGGAAGTTTGTTATATTCAATGAGGCCTTTATATAATAAAATTTTCATGGAGTTTGATAAACTACATCGTGGCAGGTGAAAATTGTCATTTTGTCTAGTAGTGTAATTGTGAGTGGAATTTCTATAAATGATAAATTCTTCGAAATAAGAAGGTAGCATATGATTGGTTATCTTAAAAATAAATATCATTGCTGACCTGTAATATCTTTCACGAATAGACATCCACTGTAATGCACTGAGCATAAAGCATATACTTGCATAACGATTACATCCAAGAACCACCCTCATTCCTCTGTTCTGTAACTTTTGCAGAGACATAATTTTATTTTGGTCAAAACTGTATAACAGCGTACTGCAATAATCAAAATGGGGCTGTATTATTGTATTATATACGGTTATTTTCGCATTTGTAGAAAGGTGTTTCGAAATTCTAGTGAAGAAATATAGNAAGTTTTTATTCCTTATTTAGAGGAATCGGGCAAATTACGGATGTGCAGTTGGTTAGTACCTCGTCCACTAGATGGAGTGACATTTTGTGATGTTCGCTCCAATTTCGGAAGAGGAATGAAATACTCTGAAAGAATTCCGATTTTAAATTGTGGAATATCATTGACTTTAGGTCGATGATAGTCACTATCTTGCACTGACGAGTGGCTAATGAGCCCGAAACCGGTCTAGAAGTGTGGACTTTCCGAAATTAAAGGTCGACTCTTTCAGTTGTATTGCCAATTGCATATGCAGAAAATTTTCTGTGAAGATTCCTGCACTGACGCATGTCGGATAGAATGATGATAATATTGTTTATTATGCATGAAAATACATTTATAGATAAAAGGAAAAGGGTTAGCCAAAGGCTATCTTCCACCTCTCCCAAAAACTATAAAGTGAATGTAAGAATACAATTATAAAAATACTTATTTACTATCATAACAATAATAGAGAAGAGAAAAAATAATAGATCATATAGTTGCTATTAATATTCTTGTTGCTAGTTGCTATTAATATTCTTAACATTATTTTGGTCAATTCAACAATTTCATTGCACAACCATACATTGAATTTTAAATTTTTAAAATTAGCACCGAGCAGTAAGCATCTGTGATTTTATTTCTTTCATAAATTGATGAATTTCATGATTTTAAAGGGGTAAAATTTCATTCAGATAAGAAGGGGCTATATAACAAAAACATCCTTGAAATTTGGAAATACGGTGCCTAGGTATGTTGAATGAGTTAATTATCAAATTGATCATATGTATGTCAGATTGCCTGCCTAATAAACTATATAAATAACTAGGTGTTTTAGTTTGAAGCAACTTAAACAAAACATTTTTTATCAAATATTGGACTCTGTACCTCACATTCAGCTCCTTCATTTTTAACAAAAATAGTGTGACATGTTCACCATATGGTATACAGTATACGAATCGCATGTAAGCATTTTGTATAAGTTGTAACTTCTGCTTGTTATATTGCGGCAAAAAATTCTAATACACCGAACAACACTCGATATGGGGTTAAATAAGAGTTTTAACTAACCTGAGTTTCATTTCTTCTGATAACTGATACTTGAATTTGTATAGCGATTTGAGTTTGAAAAATGTTTGTCACATGTTTATGGAAAGACAGAGAGCTATCTATGGTTACCCCAAGATTTTTAGCACTGTCTACCCAGTCAATGTCTACGTTATCGAGAGTGAGCCTAAAGTTACACTGAGTTTCTACTATTTGTCTTTGAGACCCTATGCATAAGGCCAAAGTTTTATTTGGATTGATTTAAAGTCTATGATTCTCCGAGTATAGGAATGTTTTGTGCAAATCTGTGTTTGCCACGCAACTTTCTGTATCGGTGTTATGAGAAAACAAATATAACTGTATATCATCTGCGTATAGATGTACTTGACAATGTGATAAGGAAGTGGGGTGATCAAAAATAAACACTGAAAGGATCAAGGGTCCTAAAATACTTCCCTGCGGTACACCTGAGATTGTTTGCTTCAGGAATGACCATGAGTTATCATCCAGTTTGACCCTCTGTGATCGGCCTGTGAGATAGCCGGTCATCCATTTGAAAGAAATGTCATCGATTCCTACAAACTTGAGCTTGTTGATGAGTAAATCGAAATTAACTAAATCGAAAGCTTTACTTTGATCAAACAGTACTGAAATGGTGACTTTTGATTGATCTCTGAATTTCGCAAGATCTTCGATTACTTTTAAGAGGGCAGTCTGTGTTCCGTGTTTTTTGCGGAACCCAGACTGCTCGTAAGGAAGTATTCGATTTTCTTCAAGAAACACCTACAACCCTTCAACCCTAAGTTGTAGGGTTAGTACGCAGTCCGTTTCAAAAATAAGATGAATTTTCCTCTTCAAAGTAGTCCTCTCCAGATATGTACTTTTTGGTATTTCCTTGAACTCTCCTAGCAATTTGGTTTTTATCTCTTCAATCGATGCGAAATGTCGTCCTTGCATGGGTCTCTTCGATCTTGGAAAGAATAAAATGTCGCAAGGTGCCAAATCTGGTAAATACGGTGGCTGAGGCATGATTACGATGTTGTTTTTGGCAAAAAAATTACGAACAAGTAATAACGAGTGATCAGTTGCATTATCATAATGCCAAAGCCATGAATCGTCTTTTCATAATACCGGAGGTTTTCTTCGTATTGCTTCTCGCATGCCGCGCATAATACTCTTTATTGACCGTACGACCATGTAGCAAACTCTCCTGATGCACTACGCTACGGGTATCGTAGAAAACAGTAAGCAAGATATTTCTTCTTCTCCTGTCATATGACATCTCCTCTTAGGGACATTACCCCTGCAAAAAAGTGTATCGTTTTCAATTCCATACACTCATTGATTTATCAATACGTGCGCTCGTGCATACCACCCTGGTTGGTAGCGGCCCTTTTTTTCTTTGTGGCCGACTCGGTTAACTACGTGACCGATGCAAGTCTATAAATCATTTTGCCGTTATTAACTGTACGACCGAATCGTTATTATTGTTGGTGTCCATCGCAATTCGAATATTAATTTTTACTATTGGATGTTTACAATGCTTCGTTTACGTTTTACGCATCGTAAATAAATTTATTCTAGTCATGGCGAGGAACCCAGGAATTTGTTTTTGCGTGTGGTGTGTGGTTTCGTACTTTCACAGTTGTGATATGAATCAGTTGGTGTTTTATAAGATTGCTGATTGCGGTCAGGTTTCCTGTTCTTCTTCCTTTTTATCTCGACCAGGCATAGTCTCCTTGAACTCCCGTAGCTCGATTTTCTCTTCTTTCGGTCGATAACAATTATGATGGTTTCTTCAAAAAAGTTACCTTCAACCTGATATATTTTTCCAATTATATGTACGAATATGAAAAACTATAGGAAATTTCAACCATGAAGGTTAATCGGTGAATGTTTATGGACTGTAACGGTTCTACATTCTGTCGAGGGTTTCTAAATCATCCGAAGATATATTGGTGCATGCAAACTTTTCATCATACTGATTTATTATTAAATATGCCTATGTAAATACTTGAGAGATCAGGAACTCAATTTATTATCTGATGGAACTGGCTGATACTTGATTCTACCTAATTACTGCTTCATATTTGGATTAAGAGAAAATATATCTACCGAAGATGCAATATTAGCATTAACATCTGAAATATCTTCTGCGCTTAGTGAAAATAAGCCGAGTCTCTGCGTTTTCATAGACCTATCGAAAGCGTTTGAGACCGTCTACCACACATTGCTTCTACAAACAATGAAAGAAAATGATATAAGGAGTCCTCCCTTGAATCTGTTCAAGAGCTACCTCACGAACAGAGTACAAACGGTGAGAATAGATGTAATTACAAGCAATGAGAAGCATATTGATACTGGGATACCTCAGGGTACGGTTATTGGACCTACTCTATTCAATCTGTACATGAATGACTTATTTTCTCTAGAAAGTAAAGGAAACATTTCAGGATATGCAGACGACACAAAAATATTATATAAGGCAAATATAAGTTCTGGAAAACACATTGCTGATGGTGTGCCTCAGGGATCCATTTTGGGACCTTTTCTGTATTTAGTATTTGCAAATGATCTATTAGTGTATCTAAATGCAAATTCTGCTAGTCATTGTATATATTGATCATTCCCATATTGATTTCAATTTAAGAGTCACCGGTAGACAGCTGTTTCAGCCTATTGGGCATCGTCAGTACCGTGCAGGCGGTCCTCGATTGAAGACAAAATGAGAAAAACCGAGAAAGTACTTTGATTTATTCAGAAGTAACATTTAAAGGATTTGAAATTTTACATTTTATTTTAACGGCCATGCATGGCACTTACTAGTGGCGTGGTAGCAACTAGAAAGAAAGTAAACAGGAAATATTTGCAAATTGATAATTGACATTATGACATTTGAAGTTTAAAATTTGAAAATTGACAGTATAAACCAAAAACAGGATTACCAAACGGCACACCAACAGCAATGTTGACACTAGCAGTTTCAAAAAGTTTTCTGTAGTGCTTGTGTTTTATTCCTAGCAAAAAAAGTATGATGAGGGTGCATATCCATCCAAAATAAAATTGAAGAATAGTATTATTCACTAAATCAAAAAACTTGAGTAGAATGTCTGTAGATCATTTTGGATTCGAGACATCACCATAGTTCATAAAGAACATTTTTGAGATGCCATTCTCAACCCGTAGAGTAACGAATATTTTACCTGATTTATTAATTAACAATATAATTATATAGGTTATCACAGCAAAATTAAAGCTAAAATATCTTCCCTCCACTTTTCCCTCTAACCAACAACCAACCTACATCGAAATTACCGATCATTATTGTTCCTTTTGTTAAAAACCGCCTTCAATTGATTCAGGAAGCGGCTTCATTACCTTCCTAGAGTCATTGATCGTCGTTCTTTGTGAGGTGACAGCTCATTGTACATTAGGTGATTGCAGGAAAGTATCCAATCTCTAATCCTATTCAAATGGACTTTAATGGTCTTTGCGAACATTTCTGATTTGACAGCGTAACGTAATGTACGAAGTAATTACTTTCAAATTAAGCCATATTTTCTTCTGGTTGTTGTGTAAAGGCGTTTAATTGTTTGAGTGATCGAGCTTTTATCGGAACTTTTTCTTCACTCGACCGTAAACGTGAAATTTATAATTTCAATTTTGAATGTTGGTTACATTCACTTTCTAATTTCTTTTTGTTGAACTAACAATACTTTCAATCGGTTTTTT